AGGGGCCGCGGCGCGATGCCCCTGTCCGGGCTGTTCCCGGAGCGATGCGCGCTGCGGTCCGGGCTTGGCCCGCTCGAGGGGGAGGAGGGAGGGCTCCGGGCATCGACGTTGTCCCTCTGCTCCCCCAGGGTATCGGATCGGAGGCCTGCTGGCTCCGTGGTGGCTCTCGATGTCGAGCCAGCGCACAGAGGAAAGGCCCCGGCAATGTGGTGACGCAAGGTGGATGAAGGAAGGATGCTCTCTAATTAAAGTTCTCTCTTCAGGTTCTTCCCATCGTTCTCTCCCTACCTATGCTAGCTCCATCGTATCCTGTCGTTTCTCCTGCCACTGCTACCAATTTGCGTTGCACCCGCATGCATGGGCACTGTTCGTTTCAGATCCTGCCCTGCCGCATGAGCACGGAGGTGAACGTGCGCCTGATCCACTGCTCTGATTTCTGCCTGTACTCTCATCCTCTGCTGTTCTGTGTTGGAAGAGCCGCGTCACCTTTTTCTCATCGCCTCTCTGCCCCAGGAACCCAGCCCTGATCTCCAGCCTGTGTGTTCCTTTTCTTATTGAGTGCCTTGCCTCTGATCCCAGAGGAGGAGGTTGGAGAAGTTCAGCCCTCATTGTGGTTTCCCTGACCTGTTTCAGGTTGGTTCTCTCTCAGGCCTGATAATGCCATCTAATAAATCCGTCTCAGATGCTCCGATCTTCCAGTTCACGAACTGCCGTATCCTGAGAAATCACGAGCTGCAAAGGTGAGCAGGCTCAGCTTGGTGCTGAAAAGTTTTGTTATGGGGCCTACAAAGTTGACCTTGAACCCAGAAATATTCTAGGAAGTGGATCCAAATTTCTTAGGGCATCAGCTGTGGTTTCTCATAACCTGCTTTTCCACCATCGCTTGTCCCTCTGAGCCCCATTCTTGGCCTGGTCTTTGGAGGAAGGAAGATGTGTATATCATACTTCTAACATGCTCCCCTCAACTTTCATTTGTCTCTCTTCCCACCCCCTCAGTCAACTTCTGGGCCCATTGGCCATTTCAACCACGTTTGACAGAAGGCTCAGGATTATCAAGTGAGCCTCATAAAGCTAGAGGCCAGGTAGAAAGACCACTAGTTGTTGTGTCACCTCTGGAAGAATAGTTTCTCAGCAGAGCCCTTAGCAGACATCAGAGAACCCACAAAGAGAAGGGTTCTGATCAGGAAAACAAAAACACTTTGTTTCCCTGCTTGTGGAGCTGAGCTGTGGTCACCTCCATCACTTGCAACCTGGCAGCGTTGTGCTCCGGACGTTCCCGTGGGCCTTGGCCTCCTTTTCCTGTTTAGTTCCAGGTCCTTACATAGTATTAGAGATTGCGGCTGGATAGTCTAGCGGGTATGGGGAGAGGAGGAGGGTTTGTGGCATGCAGAGCTGATGGGGCCCCTCTTTTGCTGCCAGAAGGAGCAGTGTGTGACTGTGACTGTCTGTTCAGGGAGGACCTGTGGGTGCGAGAAGGGAAGATCCTCAACCCGGAGAAACTGTTCTTTGATGAGAAAGGATCTGCTGACATCCAGCTGGACTGCAAGGACAGCATCATTGCCCCTGGTTTCATTGATGTGCAGATCAATGGTAAGGAGAAGCTACATGCACTCTCAGAGAGACAGGGGGTTCCCAGGCATGTCCACCCCGGCTCTTCATTGCCTGTGTACTGGCTGTGATCAAATTTATTTCAAGAGGGCATCAGCTACTTGAGAGAGACATGAATCACCAAATTCATGATAAGGAGCCATTTTGCTCATGGTTGCTGCTGTTACCTAATGGATCCATTTTGGTGATTTGGCCCTGTGGGGTTTTGAGCTCAGCTTTCCTCTTAACTTCTTTTTAATCAATGGTCTCTCTTCTTCTGCACCTGGCTGGTAGGATGCCCGCTGTGCGCTTTCCAGGATATGGGGAGAACAGAGTGGGATTTCTCAAAGGAGCAGACTTTACCAGCAGTAGCTCTTTCCAGGAGCCAAGAAGGGCTTGTTCTGTGCTAGATCATGTTAAAAGTCGGATCTGCTCTTTAGTGGGGAGTCCTCAGACTTCAAAATTTCATTTTGATTCAGGTGAAAAATGTAAAGTTGGTGTTTCTTGCAAAACGGTGGGACGTTGTGGCAAAAAGCACTTCAAAAGGACAGCGTTAGTTGGATTTGTACTTGCAGGGCTTTGAGAAAGTAAAACAGAACAAGTGCTCATAGAGCCCTTCGAGCCCAGTCAGTGCAGATATGAATGGAGTGGCTCACCCTGGTCAGGCAAAATGTTTCTTAAGTGTTTTTAGGTGGGGAAAGATAACACATTCTCAGAGTACCCAGTTTGTCCTTGACTGGAGGGAACGTTCTGGGCAGTGAGGAGACCTGTCCTGTGAGGAGGCTGTCGCCTTCATCTCTGTTTTGTTCATGGTGCAGGAGGCTTTGGCGTAGATTTCTCCCTGGCTACAGATGACTTCAAATCAGGGATTGACCTGGTCAGTCAGAAAATCCTCTCCCATGGAGTGACCTCCTTCTGTCCCACTCTGGTGACTTCTCCTCCATCTGTGTACCACCAGGTAAGGGAAATTCCTCTCCACCCATCCCCAGAGTGATAAAGGGCTGAAGGCTGAGGCTGCAGCCTCATTCTTCAGAAACTGCGATAGCTGCCTTGGAAGAAGGGCCGTGGGCATGAGCAACTGGACTCTGACCCCTTGATTTCTTGACCTTAACCTTTAGACTATTGAGACAATGATGTCTCCTAGGCAGCTGCCTTGCACAAATGGGGCTTGCAGCTTGCTTTTGCTTGGTAAGCTGTGCTTGGCTAATGGTCCCCAGTGCTCCATCTACAAAGCTCTGTAGGGACCCAACGATTTGGAGGTGATGCTCCCCACCTGGAACAGAGGTGTGGCTATTTCTGCTGAGGTGAAACACTTCAGAGTGCTCCACTGAATAGAACAATCTGGGCTTTACATGATAAACATCAGCCCTTGCTATTGGTACCTGTGGCTGCTGCTCTGCTGGGGCAGCTCCATGGTTATCTCAACAGGGATACTCTGCCGGGCAGGCTGGGGTACCATGTCAGCAAGGCTTCTGACAAAACCTCCCTTCTCTAGATTCTCCCTCAGATCAGTATAAGAAATGGTGGAGTCCATGGAGCAGGTATCCTGGGTAAGTGGTTTTGCCCCTTACTATTCTCTCTGGTGCTAGTGTGGGAGGGCAATTATCTTTTTTCTCATTAAGGGGAAAGAAGCTACGGCAAGGGCAGAACAAATTGGGGCTGGACCTCTCTAGTTGGTGGGAGGGATACACAAGCAGGCACAGACCTGCTTTCTCCGTCAGCCTTTCCCTGGCCTTTGCCATCTTCTCTGCCATTGAATATGCATAACTCCAGCCCTTCTGGGCCAGATAGGCCCAGAATGGCATATAATGGCAGTGTGCTGCTTGGCTTGGCCAATTGCCAGTGCTGTATCTCTTACCGTGCTGAGCGTTGTAATCCAGAGGCTTTTGTTATTCACTGCATATTTGGGGGATTGATTCCCCCCCCCCACCCTGAAAAACGGGTTGAGGTACCTCTTTGGGAAGGTTGCATTCCTGAAAACTTGCTTGGAGTGCTTCATATCCAGATCCAGGAATGGAGTGCCAGCAGAGCACAGCCTGGAAATGGATGGTGGAAGTGATCTTGGAAGGCCTGAGCTGGGAGAAGCTGGAGATTTAGGACTGCCAGCAGTTATTACACGTTGGGGCAGGGGGGAGCTGGTTGGCAGTGAAGAAAGCTGGGGCAGCCAGACTGGAGCAAAATAAAAGTGAATGGAGGAAAAAGCTTGCTCCCATTCAGGCCTCTACTATTACTGATGCTCAGAGTTACCTGAACAGAGGGTGGTTTGCTGAGGGAGGCACAAGGGGCTTGACTGGAGCAGGATAGAAGCAGCAGGTTTTCCGGTCTGGTACGGAGAGAAAGAGTCACGGCTATGTGTTCCTGTTTGGGCAGGGGCCCATCTGGAAGGACCATTTATCAGCAGGGAGAAGAAGGGGGCGCACCCGGAGCACTGCCTCCGCACCTTCGAGGCAGGTGCCTTCCAAGACCTGCTTGCCACCTACGGGGCCCTGGACTGTGTCCGGATAGTCACCCTGGCCCCAGAGATGAAGAGGAGCAGTGAGGTGATCCATGAACTCACCAAGCGGGGCATCTGTGTCTCGCTCGGTAAGAGCTGGGGAGGAGAAGGCTTAGGGGAAGCTCAGGCTGACAGCTCAGTCCCTCTCTGTGTCGCACAGAGCATGGACCAGGCAGCCACCTCCCCCAGGGCCATAGCATCTCTGACGGTGTCTTGGTGCAACTGATGTGGATGGGATTTCCTTTTGTTGCCCCTCTCCAAGACCAGAGAACTGCCTCTCCGTTTCCCAGAACTACTAGTAGCTTTTGCAGGATAGTGGCTTTCCTGGGTCACTGACAGCAGTCCTGGCCTACATGGAGGTAATGGACTTGTCACAAGTAGGGATGTATAGGTTGATGTTGAAGATCTATCTCCCTTTGTATGGTAAGGGTCAAATTTCATATTAATTAAAGAGCCCCTGCAGTTAAACACAAGGTAGTGCTGGTACTGTCCAAATGGAGGAAAGAATAGCAACTTTTTTTTTTTTTAAATTAACCTTCAATTTAATAATGACTGCTTGGAAAGGTTCAAACTCTGAAGTTCAGCTGCTTTAGGCCTTATTTGACAGGTGAAATGAGTTTTCCAGAGGTTGCTGTTGAGTTCTGATAACTCAGTTCTTCAACTGGAAATCTTCCTTCACTGCTTTGCAGGCTACTGACTTAAAACTGGCTGCGTTTTTCTGGTCCTCTCTTCCACATATTCTTCTTTGCCTCAGATCCATTGGAAAAAAAATTTTTTTTTTTTTAGGGTTTTTCTTTAGGGTGAAATTGAGCCTTAAGTGAGAAGGGTATTTGTACAGCAGAGCCCACAGCTCTTACCTTACAGCCCAGAAAAGGAGAAGAACCTCAGAAAGGCAGAGTTTACCCATAGAACCTTAGAGCTGCTGTCTGTGCTGGGGAAAAAAGCCAAATTATTTCTTTTGGGGTTGTATATTATCCACACGTTCTTTCTCGGCAAAGTCCCCACTGTCTGTCTGCTCTCTTGACAGGCGTCCTCTCTGTATCAAGCCCTCAAATATCTGAGGGTAGCGGAATGGCCCTAGGACCTCTAGTCTAGTCAAATGGCTAACTCTCCCCTGATGCTCTTAGCAGCAAGGCAGCATTTGTGTTTATTATGATATGGACGGTGACTGTGTTCAGGTGAACCATCCACTACCAGAGTCCCTCGAAGTAATTGCCAGATACCTCTGTGACAAGGCTGGCATCTCATACCTAGACCGATGGTGGGGGGCATCAGAATAGAGTCCTAGTGTCAGAACATCTTTATTCCTGGATGTCCCTGTGGGGAAAATAAGTGCAGAGACAGGAAGAAAAATCATGTGGTGGCCTTTGTTTCCAGGTCACTCAGTGGCTAACCTCTCCCAGGCAGAGGAGGCTGTGCAGCATGGTGCTACCTTCATCACTCATCTCTTCAATGCCATGTTGCCGGTGAGTAGGCCAGGGCACTTGCCCTGTGCTTGTATTGCTCTCGGTGCTTTCTTTCTCGCTCCCCATGGGTGCTTGTTCTCCTCAGCTTGTTTCATACCAGGCTTTTCAACAGGGTTTCAGCTCTGAGCCTCTAGCTTCACGTTTCTACTGTCTGATCTAAAAGAGAGTCAAGGCTGTGGTTGACTTGTGAAATTGATGAGTTGCCCAGCCATGTCTGGTAAAGGAGGAAGCGCCCAGCTGCCAGGCACTGTGTGATAGAGATGGCAGCTGTGTCCCATGGCAGGAGCAATCTTGGCCTCCAAGTCCTAGTGATGCTCCACAGCTTGTTCTCTCTCCCCTTGGGCAGTTCCATCATCGTGACCCTGGGATCGTGGGGCTGCTGGCAAAAAAAATGGGCGGAGGGTCTTCTATGGCATGATCTCTGATGGCATACACACCAACCCTGCTGCCCTGCGAATTGCACACCGAGCACACCCCAAAGGTGAGCCATGCCAGGTCCATCTGGTGTTGTCAGCCCGGCCCCCTGCCATCTCAAACACTGTGCCATCTCCCACAAGACAATGACACAAGTGCTGTGGCTCACTGCCTGAAAGATGCTCCTGCCACGTGTTCTGGGCCACCAGAACCTCTCGCTTCAATAAGACACTGCTGAAGATGTCTTTGCTGCTCTCTGGGAGGGTCAGCAGAGCACAGTGCTTGGACCTACAGTAAGAACAGGTATGAAGCTAACACAACCCATTTCCTTGCATTCCTCAGGCCTGGTGCTGGTGACGGATGCCATCGCTGGTATGGGGCTGGCACCAGGTCGGCACACACTGGGTCAGCAGGTAGTGGAGATCGATGGGCTGAACACCTACATTGCAGGTAAGTGCCTTTTGCAAAAGAGGCAGGGTTGGCACTGCCTTTCGTGCTTGTTCCTGGAGCGCTCAGTACACATTGCAGTGCCTGGCAGCATAAAGCAGCGCTTGTGCCATCCTTTTGGATTTTGTTTCCTAATCAATTAATGACTGCATAGTAACTTGCTCCTGGGTTGAATGAGGCACCTCATGAGGAGGGGAAGGGCCCTGTTTTGCTGGAATGAGGAGGAATCTGTTGTTTCTTAGCTATCCACAGCACCTTTAGACACCTTGTTGCACAGTGTTACAGCTGTTAGAAGTTCTGATGGGGTCAGAAAGGAGAGGAAACCTCACAGATATCTATTGTCCCTTGTTTTTACTGTAACACACCACTTCTGGTTAAAGAAGCCCCCAAACTGCAAACAGTTGGAGACTGGGAAGATATTTTGAAGGAGGATCATTTCTCACTCAGTACCTGTCCCCTGTCTCTGACAGCAGGTGAGCTGCGAGATGGGGTTTCATTCAGTCGAGCTGGTCTTATGGTGGAACTGTGGAGTGATTTCCCAGTACCGTTCCCTGCATTGCCAGAATGGGTTGCGTCTCACTTAATTGTCACTCAGCAGCGATGGCTGAGAGCCCTCCAACTTGTTCCTGATATGTCCCAGGATTTGTGCCTCCTTGTGTTTTGCTTCCCCCCACCTTCTCCTTGATACTAGTTATGGGGACGTGCTCAGTGCTGTCCTGCTCCTCTCCCAGGAACGAAGACCCTGAGTGGTAGCGTAGCAACCATGGATGCGTGTGTGCGACACTTCCTGGAAGCCACAGGTAAGAAATACTTGTCCGCAGGCCAGTGCTGCCTGTGTGGACTCGGGAAGAAGTCTTGCTTTTACTTGGCCAAGGAATGTTTCTCTTTCTCCAAGACATGAGGAGAAGGGGTGGGATCAGTGGCACAGGCCTCACAGATGAGCACCTTTTTGAGCAGAGACTTCATTTTAACCTGTAGCACCGATGACAGGTGAACTCCCTTGCCACTTTCTCACAAAGGGACTAAAGGCAATTGACTTCCTCTCCTCATGCCCTAGGTATTTTTTCTCCTCTCCCTGCTGTCTTGATAGGGATGTTTCCCTTCCTCAGCTCCATCCCACTGTGATGACAGTGTTATAGCCTCTCCTGCACTTCTTGTATGTAAGGTCCTGGTAGTGCAGGGAAGAGGTGGCATCTCCCAGTGAGATCAGGAGTTAATGCCCCACCATGACAGGAGGGGAGGAAGATTGGTGTTGGCAAGTACAGTGGTGCCTCTGTGGGTTTGGTTATGCAGACCAGTCCCTGCCGGGTTACTGGTTGGCAGAGCTTCGTTGCTGCGTTTGCCCCTGAGACAGTGCCTTAGCCAAGGGGTGTTTAGGCTGCTCTAGCAATGGGGCTGTGTTTGCTGCCCTAATGCCTCCCCTTTCTCTGTCCAAGGGTGCTCAGTAGAGACCGCCTTGGAGGCAGCATCTCTCCATCCTGCCCAGCTCCTGGGGATTGAACATAAAAAGGGAACCCTGAATTATGACTCTGATGCAGGTACTAGTATGGGGACAGCGATGTGACTTCTTGCAGTGAGGGCTCCTGTGTACTGGAGTGGTTGTGGGGCAAAGCAGAAGCTGCTGCTAATGCAGCCCTCTCCATCTGCCCCTTTGGGAATTTCTGGGAACCTGCTTTGCTGCTTGCCTGGGATTTGCTATGGGCTTTTTATGGCTCTTCCCTTGGCTCCTGGTGGTGGTTGCTGAGCCCTTTGGAGAGACCCCCACATCTCAGCTGGCATGGAGCATAGCTACCATAGCAGGGATGGCACAGTGCACTACTGTCTTTTCTGCAGTGGGGAGAAGCTCTTTCCTGCTAACACAGAGTCCTAGAGTCCAGCTCCTTCCGGCCAGCTTCAGCAGCTCCAGTTGCCTCTCCTCCATTTCTCTCTGACGGCTCTTCCTTTCTTTCCTGTCTGGTGCAGATTTCCTGATGCTGAATGACGGTCTGTATGTGCAAGCCACGTACATCGCAGGAGAGCAAGTCTGGAGACGGAATACATTAGGCATGTGACACTGGGCTTTCCTGGTGCCCCCCTGCCCCATGGCTCCCTGGCACTGTGGTTAGCAGCTTTGGTAACCACCTGACTCTTCTTTCTTCCTGCAACTCCCTTAAAGGAGCCTCATACCAAAGAGCTATGTTTTCCAGCCCAACCACTGCTTCCAGTCACAGCCATGCCTGCAACAAATCTGTTGGTGCTCATTTGGTGGAGTGGGGAAACTAGGCAGATCTGTGTTGCAGGGTGGGAGGCCAATTGTTAGTCCCTGGAGTGACCTGAAGATCTGCACAGCTGTCTTGTATGGAGTCCCCAGGCAGAGGTGCTCCTATCACTGTCTGAGAGCAGTGTGAGGCTGTCCCAGTCTCTGCGCTGTCTTATACGGCACACACTAACCTGCCCTGTGTCCAAGGCAGGCTCAAGCCATCGTTCCTCTCCTTGCTGTTTGCCTTACTCTGGGGCAGCCATGGCTGATTAGACATCAGCTTCCTCCAGCTCAGCTTGCAGTCCTTCATGTCAAAAGGCTCCTGTTGTGTTGGCAGAAGTTCAGGATCCTGTTCTGATCCCCTGGAACTTCCTCCATCGTGTGTCCTCTGGAGGAAGGCTGCCACCGCTCACGGATTCAGTGCCATTGTGGGGGTGTATTTCTATGTGGCCGAATCCTCAGGGCAGAGATCAAGCCCAGGAAAACAAGACGTTGCTGGCCCTTTGTGCCTTCTCCCTGCATCAGCATCAAGTCCACAGCCTGTGGCTTCTGCTGGAGACATGGTCAACATCCTGCCACAGGAAGCAGTGTTCCTTTTAACCCTTTGCTCTGGCTGGATGGATTCTGCAGGCTCTAGTCTCTACACCCAGCCTTTGCATCATCTGATGGGTTGGATTTCTCAAGCCGCAGATGGGATGACTTGCTTTAGGGGATGTGTCCAGCCTGGTAGTAACTGTCTCACAAGTCCTTGGCCCAGCTCATGGACTAAAGGAAAGAATCCTGTGGTTTATAGGGGAGGAGAATTAAAGTGGGATTTTGGCCTTTTAAGACAGTTGCTGATAGCTCATTATTCCCTTGCTCATTATTATCTTCTCCAGTACTTGACTGTCAGCTAATTTTCTGACACTTGAAAACTTCTTTTTGAAGACTAATTGTGACTTTGAACCTACCATGATCAGAAAAGCCTTGTGATAAGTCACAGAATAATAAGTCTGAGAATCCTCAGAACAATGAGATGACTTTTGTAGTGAGAGGAAGACTTAGACAAGGGTTAAGTCTTAGCAAGTGCAGAGGTTACAAAGCAAGACAAAAGTCTGGTGAGGTTTGGTAGAAGTGTGCAGATTTTTCCAGTACCTTTTTATAGCCTTTAACAGCAACATTTGGAAGTGCTTTCCTAGCAATTTAAAGCCCTGCTGGAATGACTGGCAGCCTTGGAGGATTTCTAACATCTACTGCCTGTGTCAGCAGAAACTATAACCACCAGGAGAGAAGTATTTGAAAGAGACATCAAATACCATGCTATGAAATACAACATGCTTCAGCATTACAAATTTTGTCAGAGGGAATATCTGACTGCTTGTTTTTTAAAAAAAATAAAATAAATCCAAGAGGGGAAAAAATATGAAACAAGGTGTCCAACTTTCTGGTTTTCTCTTTTTCTTTTTTTTTTTCTTCTTACAAAATTAAATAATCAAGAAAATCTAAAATAGAAATGGAATTAGGCAGTACCTGCATGCATATGTTAGAGGCCTAAGCCTACCCATTTAAGCTATACTGTAACGTACCCACTGTGTTGTATACTGGTGTGGCATGTAACAGGTTGGAATTTGAGCTGTTGGTGACTCTGTGGTTTTCAAGCTTCTGTGTCTTTTGGGGGTTTCACTAAATTGGACAAAGGTGGTGTGGTATTTGCCCCACAGTGAGAGAGGGCTCATCTGTACAGCCACTGTGCAGGAAGTGGTAACGTTACCCTGCATCTCTATGGGACTTGGAGGAGAGGGAGGCCAGCTTGTGAGAGAAGAAATGCACTTTTAAAGTGTGAATTCAGCTTCTCTGATTTCTTTCTCAGCAAGGCAGGTGGGATGTGGAAGGAGGTCCCTGCGAGAGTGTTGAGCGGTCTTGGAGCCACTGTGCCACTAACTGCCTCATGGAGCAAGGGCTTGCTGGCCTCCTTTCAAAGAAGGCTGTAATGCTTCATCACCCCCTGCCCCGAACCTTCTCCGAGCAGGTTTCCCTGAGGAGCTGTATGTGCTGCCGGTTCAGATGCCTACAAAACTTGTTCATGGAGGCCTGCTGGCGAAGTAGGGCCTTAGAGAAGGACTGGAGAAACTGCTGCTCTGGTCAAGCCAGGCTGCCCAGCAGAGGGCAACTCTAGGTAATAAATAGTTTCTGGGTTTCCCCCAGGTTGCTGTTGCTTGGTAGGAAACAAAGTGGTTGGTGGGGAAGCTGGATGCTGATGGCTTCCTTGAGGCCTGGGCACTCGCGGGGGATCAGCTGTGCTTGCAGCCGTGCAGCTCTGACGTTTTACAGCTGCGGCAGGGCCTCTCCGTGCTTTTCCTACACGTCACTGAGGCAGAAGAAAAAGTTTCTTTGGGGGTAGGACGCAGGGGAAGGATCTGAATGAAAAGCTTGCCTTCCCCGCGCCTCCTCCTGGGGTTGCGCGCGAGTTCCCCCCCCCGTGTCCTGCGCCCGC